GTCAGAGCATTGGAAGGAAAGCTCAGAATCAAACCTAATGATTATTTGACTAACCAGCCCTTCATTCGTTTATTTCTCTAATGAATTATTGAGGCACTGCATAGACATCTCAGAATAAAAGCACAACACTGGTCTTAGACTGCAAAAGTATAATAGTACTTGTGATATAATAATAATAGCAATAAGCACACAAAATGCTGCATAAACACTAATTAAACCTCAGTGTCCCCAAGCAGCAAACACAGAAGGCAGGATGCTCAGCACATGTAGTGATTTGAGGTAAAGAGTATAATTAACAACACATAAAACAACCTTATTCCAAATACAGCTCATGGTACTTGTGGCTGCTCTGCTCTGTGTTACAGGGGAGACAGAGAAACTGAAATCTGCTCTCTGACCAAGTTTCCAATAAATGTATTGATCCCAAACAGCTGTGAGCACGTTTAGGTTACGAGAAGGAACAGAGTTATTTAAATCATCAAAGCTAACACCTGAGGGAAGTTGTCCAAATCCTGTGGAAGCTGTCTCACAGGGTTGTGATCAGCAGTTTGCCACACGGGGGGCTCTTGGTTCATGTGGAAACAGCTGTGAGATCCTGGCTGTGGCTGAAGCCCCAGATCCCTTGAGGGGAGCAGAGACAACAGGACCTGGACTGAGCTGTCACTCCCATTCCTCACCCGTGCCGAGTTCACCTTGACTCCTCGGCAGGCTGGTGCCAGAAGAGAAAGATAAGTGGATTTGGAGAGAATGTTAAAAAAAACCAACCCAAATCACCCAGGATGCCGAGTGTTAAAGGCTCAAGGATGTAGCACAGCATTCAGATGTAAAAGCCCTGCTGCAGCCACACTCCAGGTCAATAATAAAAGCTTCAGAGTGATGGAAAACCTGCCCTGTCAGTAATTTCTATTCCAAGAGATGTTTGTGATGATGCAGTTTAGAGCACGAAATTGAAATATTATTTTTCACACCATGCACTTTTCCATCTTTGTCTCTTGCTTAATTCCAGCTTTTTCTTTTCTTTTTTTCACACTTTTAGTTTGACACAATGGCCCCACTTGCTTTTGTAGTGTCCATCCAATGGATCATTCCAGAGATCAAAATGATTTTGCAACAATTGTCAGCAGTGCCTTTCTCTGTGACAGCTCAGAAATACTTCATGATGAGCTTCAATATGCAGGAAAGGAAAAAGAAAAGCGTGGTGGGTGATTTCTGCCATTACTTGGTACCCACATAGGGAGTGGAGTCCCTTGGTCACCTGGCTGGTGCTGCAGAGCAAGGAGCAAGGAGCAGGGTCCTGTGTGAGCCCAGGGAAAGCTCTTCTGTGCATCCCCTTCACCCACTAAATAGGGCTGTTCACTCTCCCTAGCCTGCTTAATCCTTCCTTTGCTGAGAATTCCAAAGCCAAAGCTATCAGTGTGCCAGTTCCTGTGGTTTTGGGAGCTTTTTTGATCATATATTCTTTTTCTGGAGATCGTAGCTGCTGAAATTTTATTGCCTGAATCCCGTAGCTTCTGTTCAATCGAATTTGGAAAAAAAGGAAAAACTTCCAACCCTCGGGGCTGTAGAGGAAAGCTTAGGAAAATGAACCCTAAATGCCTTGGCATTCAGACCAATAAAGACAGCCTGGCATCAGTTGTCATGTAAATAACAAGCTTGTAAAACAAACACTGCACATTCCAGCGGTTCTGTTTGTTAAATCTGCTTCTCCTGCAGTCTGGACTGGGACCTGGTGCCAGCCTTTCCTGACCAGCAGAGCACCAGTACCATCCTCCTCGTCTTCCTCCTCAGAAATGCCAGTTTGGAAACAATTTTCAATGCTAGGAACAGCAGTAGGAGCCACGAAGATGAGCCCGATGCTTCTCAGAGATTTTCCTGGAAAGCAGTTCCCTGCTCTCAGCATGGCCCCTGCCTCCACCTGGACAGGTAAGTGGATGCTTTGGCACGTGGGGCTGGATTTCCCATTTACCTTCACACACCAAGGAAGGTAAATCCACGTCCTTGCTGGTGACAAGGACTTTTTCTGCGATATGTTGAACTTAATTATACCATGTTATGCAAAAGATGTTAATCTAAATGTAACCAAACTGCTGGGGGTCACTATTTCTGAAGTCTGTGTCAAGCTTGCCAGGGGTTAAGTGTGGTAAACTCTTATTTCCTGCCCAGAGCTGGTTTATTTTTGTAACACAGGAGTTTTCAGTAAGTTTGTACTGGAAAAGTGCTTGGCTAAGGCTTTTACTGGTGAAAACAGACCAAAAATGCTTTGCTCAGATTTTTACTGGCATCAGTAGATGAAATGCTTTCCTCAGTTTTATGCTGCAAGCAAATATATATTGATAACTAAATGAACTCCTGGATTAATTAAAACACACCATACATTCCAGCAGAGAAACAGAGCATTCATCCCTAGAAATCTTTACGTGAGAAGATGATGGTTTCAGTCTGTAACAGCCAGAGTGTGTGTACATGTGCTGTACAGCCTGTGGGGAGGCTGGGGCTGGGCAGAGCTGAGGCAGGAGGCTCAGCCAGAAGCACTGTGGGCAGGGATCTTGTTTGGATAGCTGAAACCATATTTAGAACATACATAAAATAACTGAAAGAGAAAGAAAGATGTCCTTTGGTATCACACCATATTAGGAATGGCAAGGAGTACAACACTGACTCTCTTAGCTGCATTGTCCAAGAGAGCAAAGTTTATTATTCTTAATCTTCTTTTAAAGACATGTTCAAGAAAGTCTGAGAGGTAAAACTCTCATTGGTCATTAAAGCAATCACCTTCATTGGTTAAGAGAAACACCACCCCTTGACAGTTTCCTAAACACCACCTGCTAAGATTGCTGTCCTTCAAAGACTGTTTGGATTCTTTTTTGTGCTTTCTCAGGCCAGAGTGAGAAGCCTGTGTGACTTAGTTTCACACAGACTCTGTGCTCTCTGCTTTCAGCATCTATACTTTGGCTGCTGCAAAGTGCACCAGGGTTTTGGGGTCTAAGTGCTATTTGGAGGAGGATCAGGGGCTAAGTGTCCCATCCATCTCCACAGGGTCTCAGGTTCTCAGGGTGTATTTGCTGCCCACAGAACCTCACTGGCAGCTGTTGGAGCTGTGTGTTCCTCATGCCCTCCCCAACAGCACTCATCCAAGCAGCAGTTGTCTCCAAACCTTTTGTCCTTTCCTTCTAAACCATCTTTGTGTCCTTTGGTTTCAGCATGAGGGCTGGGACCTGCTGGCCATCCTCTCTAGAGTGCTCAGTCCCCAGGGCTGGGGAGGAGGAGATTCCAGGCTGCAGCTGGAAGCAGGAGGAGGAGGAAGGGCAGAGGGCTGATGTTGTCAGTGTCACAAATGGGGTGAGCAGTGCCAAGTGCCAGCGCTTATCCAACGATCTGTCACCCCACCCCTGTCACCCCAGCAGAGAGGGACACCCTGGTGAATTCAGCACTCCCCGGGGCAGTGTGGGAAGGCAGGGAGGCAGCAGTTTGCTGCACAAACTCGACAGCAGAACCTACGATGAAGTGAAATTACTGCCGATTCTAAGAGTAAAAGCATCCCTGTTAAGACCCCACTTACTCCATGCTCAAGGATTGCATGGGAGGGATGCAAATCTTCTCACCTACCAGCAGACACCCTCCTGCAAGGAAGCCTTGAGAAAACAGAAATCGTCCAGAAAACTGAACACTACTTTTTCTTCTAAAATTTCCTCAAAGTTTAGTTTCACCAGGCCAGACTGCAGAAATCCAGATTGTGTCTTAATTTATTAAAACATCCCACGATTTAAAATTGCTCAGAACTCCCAGTGCCAGGATGGTCTGCAAGAGTTATCCTTCCCATCAAACTTAGGGGATCCAGATAAAAGAAAGAAAGTAGAAGCTGTGAATTTGAACAAGGAAAGCCTCTTTTGCCTTCTGACACTTTTTTCCCTATGCCCGACAAAATTCCTCAGATTTTTAGAATTTCATAAGAAAACAAAAGAACTCAACACCACAAAGTCTCAAATTTCCAGTGACACTCCAAATTCCCAAATTTTACAGCCGATTTTCAAGCCTCCCGGTACTGAGGGAGCCGAAGAGCCGAACTCCGGCTGGAGAGCCACGGTTTAAGGGGGGAAATAAGGCTTGGGAGCAGGAGCGGCTGCCTCGGCAGGGGAAGGGGGGAAGAGCAGCCGCTCCGAGCGCTCCCAGCTCGGGGCTCGCTGCCGGCTGGGGCACGAAGCTGTTCCGAGAGTGCCATCCAGGGGACCAGAGCTGCACTTCAGCTGCTGCTCGGGGAGAGGAGGGGTTGAAGCGTGACTGGCTGGGGGTGTGGGTGCTCAGGAGGAGGAACCGACCGAAGCGAGGTGCTGAAAACTTTGCGAGCCACACCCGGGTTCAGCCGGGGCAGCCATAGGAGTGGAATTAACAAATTGAGAAGGGCCAGGAGTTTGGGAAGGGACCAGAATCTTCACAGCAGGTCTAAAAATGCTAATTACAGAACCACAGAATCACCTAGGGTAGAAAAGACCTCCAAAATCATAGAGTCCAGCCTTGTCACCCAGACTCGAGCGCTAACAGCGGCGTCCAGGCGTTCCTTGGACGACTCCAGCAATGGTGACTCCAAACCTCCCTGGGCAACCCCTTTCCAACGGCGGATTTCCAATTTAGGTGGATCCAGTTTGTGTGAGCCTCTCCCCGGGACCCCTCTGCTGTGTCTGGGGGTGGAGAGAAGCCCCAGTGACATCTCGGTCCCTGTCCCCGAGTGCTTCCCAAACCTCGGCACTTACGGCTTGGGAAAAGCCTCGCAGGGGGAACCCATCCTGCTGTGTACCCATCACCGGCTGGGGACCGCCGGCTGTTTAAAACACGGCCATGCTTGTGAAGGAGCAGCAGGAAAACACAATTTCCTTGTCGTATAAATCAGTGTTGAGGTGTGTGTGTGGGGAAACCTGGTTTTAACCGCCTGGTTTTAACAGGAGTTGGCTGTGGGATGGGAGGGCAGGGCCCGGGGGGCACGGAACGGGGATCGCGGGGCTCACCTTGATGACGAGCGGGTTCCGCAGCATGCTGAGCCGGACCAACCCCAGCCGCTCGTTCTCCGTGCCCGGGCCCGCCTCGGCCA